CACAACTCAATTACCTCTATTTTTATGATTGCGAATGCCTATCAATATCCAATCATATGGTCTAAAATAGAGATATATCAATAAGATAATCAAATAGACGTATGTGGATCTAGAGAGACGGTGTCAAATCAAATCATGAGAACAAAAAAAGAAAGACTACTAAGAATAGATAAGCCATCATTTTCATACGAAAAGTAAGAGACTAAAACAGACAGAGGAGGGCAAAATGCAGATATATCAGGATCAGATTCAAGATCCGTGCGTCATTGAAAATGAAGCAGTGTGAGTGAGTAATGGTGGTAGATGGCCGGATTTAATGATGGATGAACCGAGTCATACAAAGTAACATGCATGTGCACCTCAGCTTTACGACTTCCAAATGCATTATTGGCATCAAAATCTTCGCCACGGTATTAATCCTGAATCTGAATGTTTTTATCAGTTTTTACTTCGATTATTAATTAAATAAAGAGTGATTTTAATCATTTACGTTATTGGTACATTCAATTTTAGTTATTCGATCGTTACTCACGTTAATTCATTGACGAAGTAAAAATAAAACAGAATCCCCTTTGCTGAAAAGTCAATTGGCCAAGGACAAATTGTTAGTGCATTTGAGATAAATGGAGCACGTATTTGATGGACTTGAGTATAGAGGGAACGTGAATTAAAAATGGGTATTGCTCACAAAGAACATCAAGAAAATGAATATATATCACTAAACAATACAATTTACTAAGAAAATGGCAATTAATAAGTAGAAAGTTCAATGCCAACGTTAAAACTTATTCCAATTTGTTGCATTTTGACAAGTAAAGATAACAACCAAAAGAACTTAGTTAAATGTCGATCCAAGTCATTATTAATGTAGCAATGAGTAAAAAAGGACCATAGAAAAATTTCAGGTTTAGCACTTAAACTATCGGTTTTGATTATCTTATTGTCTAAACTTTTAATTTTTTTTCAAAATCATATCTAAATTTAGTTTTGTTTCATTTTATACTCCGTTCAAAATTTATTGTTAAATTTGAAAGAAAGAAAAATGAAAGTTTAGGTACTAAAACCTGATGGTTTGGATGGTTTATAAGTATTAACATATTAAATTGTAGCTTAACCAAATCCATTATATCAATATAATATATATAACCAATAGTAGTAATCTCTTTAATGCACTAATAATTCGAATTAATTCAAAGTCTTAAAAATATTAAATTGATCCAATAATCAAGAAGTCTAATGCCGTGACACCAACTCTCACAAACCAAGAATTTTAATCATAATTTTCATAGATGAATTCTTCGTTCAATATCATAAATACTTTGAAAAATATATATAATATACAATGAATGAGGGAGGAAGAGTTAGGGGTCATTTTCTTTGAAAAGAAATGTACGTCTGCCCAACTTTAAGCCTCTTATATTATGGTAGTAGATTAGACTTTGCTATTGGGCCAATAATAGTTAGGGATGCCAAATCGATATGTTTTGATCCGACTTGATTCGATAGAGTTTGATTTCTTTTAACATTTGGGTCGAGTCGGGTCCGGTTAGGGTGGAGGGTGAAAAAACTCCAACTCGACTTAGGATAATAATGTGATTTTTTTTAAAATATTATTATTTTTAATTAAATCCTTATTTTATACTGCGTCGGGTCAAGTCAAATCTAAAAATTCGAGTCGGGTGAAGAATATATATTTTTTGAGTCAGGTGGAGGATATATAATTTTCGGGTCGGGTCGGAGTTAGGTGGAGAATATATATTTTCAGGTCGAGTGAAAGATATATAATTTTCGAGTTGGGTCGAATTCGAGTAAAAGATATATGTTTTTCGAGTTAGGACGAGTTAACTAAAAACCTAAACGACCTGTTACTACAAATATTATTTGAGAAAAAATATCAAGTTCATATACAATTTGAGAAAGAAAAAGGTAAAAGGTAAAAAAAATTAATGGATCCTCGTACTATTTTTTTATGTGGCCTTTCAACTAAAAAAGGAACGTAATTTGACTCTTTGACTAATATTTTTTGTCATTGACTAATATTAGTGTAAGTCATTCATCATTATGATGCTCTAAGTCAACCATAAGTTTCTACAAAAATCATCTTCATGATTCTTTTCCTTTCCCTTCAACAATTGTTCATGCAACAGGAAACTAATTATTTTCATCTCCACTAATAGCAAGAAGTAGTATTCCTTTATAACATATTTGTGAAAGTGTTCACGTCAGCAAAAGTTAACAGGGTTGTTGGTCAATGACGGAAAATATTGGTCAAAGTGCTACATTAAATTCTTTTTTTAGTAGAATGATCATATTAAGATAAAAAATAATACGATTGTCACATTATTATTTTTTAAATACAAAGACTACGCGTAACTATTGCAGGGATATATATATATATATATGTATGTATGTATATGTATCAAAATGTAGTAGTAATTAGTCAATTTAAAATTAAGTATTAAATGGTATATTAATCTTAACTTGATTGAAAAGATTACTATTATTATATTTAAGATAATATGAATTCAAATAGTTAAAGTCGAACCCTTAACACCTCTCGTTTTGCTTGCTAACAAACATAAAAAATGCTAGGGAGTCTTTTATCTTATCCCTTGTAGGATTAGGGGTGAGCGTTCGATTGAGTCGAGTAAAAAAATTTCAAGTTATTTTAGTTGACGAGTCGTATTTTACAACTCGAACTTAATTTGAATTTTTTTCGAGTTGAGTTTAAAAATTCAAGTCAAGTTATTCGAGTTTCTATAATAATTTTATTACAAATTATTTATAGTATTATAGCAACGAATTGTCTAAGTTTTTAACTTTATTTAACATATAATATATATATATATTATTTCATATTATATATTGTTTAATATACCAAATATAATCTAAAATTAAAATATATCTATAATATTATATTTTAAAGAAATTGTTTTGAGGATAAAATATTGATGAGAGTATAAATGAGTCATGAATTGATGAGAAGAAAGAATTTGCAAATAATTGTAGTCAAAAGACCCAAATGAGTAAAATATAAAGTTAAGGTACTAAATAAAATGAGAGTACATCTTAGTAGAAAAAAATAACATTAAAGGTACATATGTATGCTATTGTAATATATGATCATGTTGATCAAATTTGGTAAAAAAAAGGACTAAAAATAATCACAAATTGAAAGAATAATAAGATTATGAAAAATTGAAGGACTAAAATTTAAAAAAATTGTTATCAAAAAGAGAAATTGAAAGTACACATACATTCTACTATAATTAGGAGTATGTAGATCAAATTTGATAAAAAAACTTAAAATAAATGACGAATCGAAGAAAAAAAATAGATTATAAAAAATTGAAGAACTAAATTGAAAAATAAAAAATTTGTTATCAAAAAGAAGAATTGAAAGTACACATATATTCAACTATGGTTTAAGAACATATAGTTCAAATTCGAAATTTTGAAAAAATTTCAGAGACTAATTGAAAACTCAACTTGAAAAACTCAAATCGAATCAAATTTGAAAATCGAATTATAATTCAAGTTAGAAGAACTCAAAATTAAAAAAAAATTGAGTCAAATTTTGTTATAATGTAATTTCTTCCTTTTCCATGTTAATGCTAATTAATTACTTGCACGAAAACGAAGGCTGGCTACGTGGCATCTCAACGGGGTCAGGGAATAATCAGAGTCCTCTTTGGTTCCACGTGCTTTTGTTTGCACACGAGTTAACGTTGCTCACTACGTGTCTTAGTTTAATTGGCTTGTCCCATTGGCAAATCATCCTGAGGGATAGATTAGGTGGACCTCACTCGCGTGGGCCCACCTCTCTCTCTCTCTCTTCTTATGCGGCGCATAAGCCGTGGGTTATGCCGAGCTGACGGACTTTTAACTTTTAGCTTACGCCTTTTTCACCCAATCGTGTATATTATGAAATGTAAATTATACTACTTTCCACCATTGTGTTGGCTCGGTTCAGCCAAGCCGCTTCCAATTCAACTCGGCTTCTTTTGCCCAAAATATTGTTGGTTTAATTATTCATAGATCCTTATCAATATAAAAATTAAACATATTGATCCATTACCCCTCAATTTTTTGTTTTGTTTTAAAATACTCCTTACTTCCCTTTCGATTCAAAAGTAAACAAATCACCCTCGACATAAACTTCTAGATTTTAAATCAATGTGTTATCAAATAAGATTTCAACAACATTTTCGTATAATCATAGACATTCATGTACTTGTATGATATAAGTAGCACATAACTATTGGGCGACACTAGTTTTGAGGGCAAACCGTGATAAAAATTAAAAAGATATAAAATACAAAATGAAAAATAATATAAGTTCAAGGACTAAATCAGTACTTAAACCACTCATTTTCAATTAAATATAATACATAACTTGACAAGAATAAATGTTTAGCCGTTTGGCACTCATTGCTTAAACAAAAGCACAAACCAAAGACAAGTCAATGAAAGTGGACAATATCATATTAATAATACTGCATTTTAGGCTGGAAAATACTAAATACTCATCCAATATAAAGAAATAAAAGGTCTAATCATGTTTTCAGTCGTTGTACTATCCAACTATTTAAAATGTAGTCCCTCTAATTTAAATCTAAGTATTTTTCACCCTTCTAAAAACTAATATTTATTTTTAAATATTTTTAGTCTTTGTTTAAATGAAGAATTATAATTTTCAACCTTTTGAAAGATAAAAAAGTTGATTTGCTTTTTTTTTGTTTATCAATTGATATTCGATCAATTGATCGATTATTTCAGACTAGATTTTACATAAACTCATTTTAAAAATGGCATTGTCATATTAATTTATTTCATTCACAAAATTCCAACTATCTAAAATATTATAATTTTATCTAAGAACAAACATAAATTTCTAATTTCACTTTATTAGTACATAACACGTGAAAAGTTTAGATTCGCTCCTATAAATTCCCTTGTTTTTTTCTGTCATTTTCCCTCGCTGTTTTGTCTCCAAAAAAAAACATTCAATCTCTTCATTCATTGACAGAACTTTTACTACAAAATCTAATCAATCAGATCTCGCCATGGCTGCAGAAGAATTCCAAGAGCCCGAGGTTGTATTTTCCGACAACACCAGCGACTTTTTCGCCACGCATCGTCACCAAGAAGACGATGACGGCGGCGCCTACTTCGATCATCCAGCAGGATTCTCCGTAAACTCCAGCGTTTCGACACGCAAGGAAAAGTCGAAGAAGAAGGTAGCTGCCAGTTCGCTTCCCGTCAACATCCCACGTCATCATCGCGGCAGTGTTTTCGGCGGCGATTTTGAGGAGGAAGACGAAGAAGATATGGAGGAAGGTGACATGGTGCCGCCACACGTGATATTGGGGAGGAGAATTGCCGGGAAAGCGGCGTTTTCCGTTTGCACCGGCAATGGAAGGACGCTTAAAGGGAGGGATTTGAGTCGTGTTCGGAATTCCATTCTTAGAATGACTGGATTTTTGGAAGCATGAAGAAACCATAATCAAATACTAGTCCATTTCCATTTCAAAAATTGAGAAATCAAGTGAAAAGAAAAGAAACACCCGGTTTCATTTGTTAATATATTATCTGGGTTTCTTTTGTGTAATTCCGTGCAATGATTAAACTCTGCAAAATTCCAGCAGCGGCACCGCCATTATAAAGAGATCAAAAAGGAAAACACAGTTGGAGATTTTGTCATGAAATGGGACAGAATCCCACAGGAACAGCTGGTTTGCACTTTGCAGAGATGATAACTGGCTTCATCGGTCTATTGTTAGAGAAAGAACCGAAAAGAAAACTCATGCTAACTACTTCTCATACAATGTATATGTATTGGCTTATAGGATTGCTCAAACACATAAAAGATGTAAAATTTAATAATCATTCATGTCAACTTTCACAATAAATATGAACATTATTTGAAGTTAGTCATTAAATTTATTTTTTCCTTTTACGATAGATGTAGTCAAATTTATCACCGCATCATAATCGGTATATTTTGCCCTATTATTTAATTTGATTCATCTATATAAGAATAGTTGAATATGAGATTCGGATTTGATAAACTTTGATTCGATTAAATTTAGGTCATATTATTTCTTTAAAATGAGACCGGGAGGTGAACTGTTTTAACCGACTCTATCTGATTTAGTATAATTATTCTTTATATATTAATCATAATTGTTATAATATTTCTTTCTATGTTTTTCTTAATTAAGTGTTTATTTCATCTAATAAAAATAAAAATTATATATATATATATATTAGATAAATATGAAGTAATATTATTAAACATCATTATTAAGTTACATACCGCAATTGCATATTACACTCCACTGTTAATTTATTTTAATTTTGTTGAAAATCTGGGTGACAACTGTACCAAGGGAACTACTCTTCGAACCCACGTGCTCATGAAAAAAAATTCAAAACACTTTTATAAGAAATATTATTAAATTAATCAGACCATATATTTTTCACTAAAATGATATTAATTGGATAAGGATGAAATTGACAACGAAGGCACGTATGAGATCAGCTCACGTGGGTCGCATCATAGCCATAGATACTTTAAACACTACAAATTCCCCCTTTTAATAAAAGAACAATATTAATATTTAATTGTTTTAAGTATTTTGGCTGAAAGTGTGTGGTCGTTAGGATGCAAAATGGGTTATTTGCAAACAAGTCAACTTCTTTGCTGTAATTATTAGATTAATTGCATTTGTTTTAATAATTACAAACTCATTTTGACTTTGGCTAACGTAACGTATATAAGCTGGACACAAATCGATTTAGGTTAAATTATGGTTTTAGTATTTTTATTATGCTTAAATTTGAATTTAATATAATTTATTTTTACCCTGTATGATACTATTAGCATTAGCTAGTCGAAATATCAACCAAATACTGAAGAAAAGTTTTTTTTTTTTTAATATTTCTTATAATTTATCATGTTAGACATGAATTTTGTTTTGCGTTAGAAGAGTTCTTTTTTTAAACAAAAAACTCACATCATGATAATTAATAATACTAACTTAGAATAAGTAATAAAATTATGAAAGCACAAGAATCAGATCATTTTATGAGGATATGAATTGAATTATAATGTAATCGTGAATACGGGTATGAAAATTTCAAATTATTATATATTTTATTTTATGTATTTTATATAAAAGAATCTGTTTTTATCTCTTGAAATTTAATAAGTTCAAGTTTATCATCTAAAATTTTAAATTTACTCATAACATACAATTCTGCGTTCGTCCCTCAATATAATTATTTAATTATAATTATAATTATAATTTAAATTTTATTTTTGAAGCTAATGTGATTTTAGTAAAGATCGAAACTCAAAATTATTCTGATGGAAGTCGGAATATACTTCATTTATATGTTTATACAATTGAATCTATTTTTTTTTATTTAAAAGAAAAGAAAAGGACAAATATATCATTTTGTTATGAATTCTCATTTGACCTATCTTCAAGAAGAAGAAGAAAAAGTAAAAAGAAAAAGATGATCAAAAGCACATATTCAAACCATTTTCAATTTCCAGAAACGAAAAGAATTTGATGGATTCCACAAGAATGAGCCTTACATGCAATATATATATTGATTTGTAAATAGTAAGCTAAGTTAAGATAAAGATAAAGCTGAACATAAAACTAGAGAGAGAGAGAGAGAGAGATCGTGCCGCGAAGCATTTCTTGTTTGTTGGGCTACTCAATATCATTGGAATGCACTCTGGGAACCATCTTTTTAATATACTTTTAGGTAACCTACGAATTTAATACTTAAATTATCAAATTTGATCCGTTTTATTTAAATTTTCATTTTTCTAAAACCATGCTTAACGTTTAGTTTTCATTTCATTTTAGTATCCGTCTTACCTAAACTATCGGTTTTAGTCACCTAAACTTTCTATTTTTTTCTTTCAAAAGTTTACGTTAACTTTTGAATGGAGTATTAAAATGAAAGAAAAACTAAAATTTTTAGAACAAACTAAACTTATGTAAGGTTTTGAAAAAAATTAGAAGTTAAGATACTAAAAGTATCAAAACTGATAGTTTAGGTACGAAACGTGTAATTTACCCTTTTATCTAAGTTTTAACGTGAAGGTTTCGGTTTACGACTTCTTATACATCAAGTCTCCCATTTGTTGTTCAACTTGTAAACCTATCAATGTGGGGGAAAACTGGTTTTTGAGAGACTTGTTGATACCAAATTCAAAGCCTACCCTTTTGGTTTTGGCAAAGGATTGTTCGGTTTGGGATTAAGAGAATGGTTGCACGTAAACGTTGGAATTTGGATATGAAACTTGTTTTACATTATCTATTAGTTTTAGGAATGGTTTCTAATTCGATTTATTAATTGAGCGATTAAAATAAGAGCAAATAAAACGTTGAGTGAGTAAATCAATTTTTTTTAAACTTCAATAAACAAAATAGAAGTGAAACAAAAGTTAAGTGATGAAATTTGTAATTTACCCTTCTAGCAATTCATTATAAGCCTTTTTCTCAATTATAGTAGGCCACCGAGCCGCCGGTGGGTAGGAGACCACCAACACCGGAAGAAAAAATTACAGTATTATATTAGCCAAGAATGAAATTTCAATGAACAATAACAATAGTAGAACCAAACGTTGTTGGCATTTTCTTCAGTCAGTAGAGCTCCACATAGATGAACAATAACAATCCTGCTGGCTGCAATTCCCTTGAGCTCGTTACGTACAATGCCGGGGAAATATTTTTCGAAACTCAAAATCTCCGAGATGCCAATGCGGCCTTCTTGTTTTTTGGTACATATGCGAACCGGTTAAAATCTACAGCAGCAGATGACCTTCAATGGATAAGACCAAGTTTTAACGGATGAAAGCTTGGAAGTACAAACTTTAAATGAAATTTCTCCAAGGATAAAGATTTAACTCTGTTTACCTGTTAATACATTTGTTCTGAGCATATTTCAAAGGGGCTCGAAGACCGCTGGCACGAGAACCGGGTGATGAGAATCTAAATGATGATATTACTGAAACAAATCTTTCCATGGATTTCTCTGCTACGTTTGAGTAACGGCCTAAATGTGAAATGTTGGATCCAAATTTTGCCTCTCCAGCTTTCGTCTCCGCAAACGTTTCGAGATTAGGATCACGATCACCTAGAAATGAAATGAATAACAGGTAAAGACTCTTACATCAGATTTGTAAGAGTCATATAAATTACAAACACCAGATTTAGCACTAATCAAGTTTAGTTTATCAATCCATAATGAAGAACACCAGATTTGTTCATTATGAGTTGTGATTAACAGGTACCAGTATCATCATGGGATGCATCCATGTAGATTTGCCGGGGATTCACATTTTCCTGAAATAAAAAAAAAGAAAAATAATTTAATCGAGAAACACGAGAAAAAGCAATAGAGTGGATTATAAAACCTTAAAAAAAAAAGTGAAGGCACTGACCAGTTCATCGTATTCAAGTGAGGAAGTTTTTCTTTTTGAAGCCGTTCCTTTAAAATAGTTATTCCCATAACTATCAGGAATGCTAGTCTCGGCGAACTGAATGATATTATCATCCTTGCCAAAAAATTTTACTTGTTTATCTTCTTGATCATTTGTGTCAAATTGCTTCTTCTGAAAGTACCGACTTCTTACAATGCTCTTTTTGCTGTCCGTTAATGTTTTACTTTTAGCCGCATTTGCAAGGGTACTATAATTACGCTCATGTGAAGCTGGAGAATGTCTATGTGTTGGCTGATCAGATTCTAGCGGCAACACAAGGTCTTGGCTTCTAATCTCATCCACCCTGGCTTCTATATCCATGAACACACAAAGTAAGCTTTTAAATGGTAAAATTATAAACTAATCTATCAGATATGTACTTTTACCAGGATTTGGAGATGCTGCATACTCAGAAAGCTCGGAAATGAAGACGTTTTCTTCCTGCAGAAGTTGAGCAGAAAGCGTAAAAAACAATTACAACTATTTAAATGAACTAAATGTAACTCTTACTAACATCACTCACAATGTTGTTAGTATTCTTTGAGTTGAGTGAGGTTGACAACAGGGTATCAATTTTGCAAGAAGCATCCTCTGCAGTAACGTGTTTGTCAGGACTGAGAGAAGAATTAGCTACCATACTGGACTGCTTAGGTGATACCCGAGGGGCCTTGAAGTTTCGTTTTGCTTCAAGAGATGCAAAGCCTTTAATTGTTAAGGAACTACAATTTACAAATAAACAACTAGACAGCTTCTCGATAACTGAATAATGCTCATTCTATATAATGCAACTTTCCCCCTAAATATGTCATAAATCAAAAGCTAAAAGAGAGTAAAATCAAGGGATACAGAAATAGTTGGTCAGAAGGTTCTTCTGCACAGGCAAATCTAGCCTTTTTCTTTCACTCTCAGGCTTAAGACTTTTCAGCTGTAAATTTCTGTCGGGCACCAGCTGAGAACTGTCACCGATACCCTGTTGAAGGACCGAGTAGTCAGGAACAATCGTCAATTAGTGGAAATGATGAAAGGGAAATATAGAATTCAAATACTAAATAGAACAATTACCCGAAATGGCATTTGCGTAAATGGATCAAGTTCACCTCTTGCTATGCCTTGAGCTATTTGTTGGGGTATCCGCGTATTCCAAATTAAGGTTTATCAAGTGTTTATCAATAGAGACTAATGGAAAAAGTTTTAACTAATCAGATGATTTACCAAGGATATGGGCCTAAAAAGTCCAAATCATCACCAATGTCATCGGATGTGTCAGATAAATGTACAATATCTTCTGCGATTGGATCATAGACTCGTTGGCACTGAAATGTTAATATTGCTTTCTTAAATGATTCTTCATAAAGAGGAGGAACTGAAACAGTGCTGTATCTCAAGTGCTTAATCACCTACCAGAATTTTTTTAAAGAAAAAAAAAGGAAACAGATGAAAAGATCATCACTAGGTGGATAAGAGACAGTATGCAAACAAGTGACAGAGACATAAAGAAATAGTATAATCAAAGAGAAGAATCTCTCGTGTTAAAGATATTCAATGTACCGGGAACATCCATGATAGCGCGCACCTTGTCATAACTTTTGAACTTTTTAATCAGAGCATGGGCCCTTCTCAGACCCATTCCTGGCAGTGACTGCAAATAGTCACAACCACTAAGAATACACATCTCGAGCAGCATCTGTTTAGTGAATCCGGCAAAGCTTAGCTCCTTGTTTTTCTGTAGCATCGAAGACTTGAACTCAACACCTTGCCCAAACTTATCCATTTTAAATATAACCTGCATTCAGATGAAGTATCATAGAACTTTAAAATCTGAAAGATGAATAAAAAAGAATTTCTCGTAAACATTGGAGAAACTGCAGTATGTTGTTGAAAGTAGTTAATAGCTACACAACTCACTCTAGGACAGCCAAAGGGTATAAGATCAGAGTCCTCGGTGATTACTGCATCGACCTGTTTGCTGATAGCCAAGAAAGTCATTTGTGCATCTGCCTCATAAGGTGCCACAACATAACATATATTCTCCCGCTTCAAGACCTTCCACAGTCAACCATGTCAAGAAAGAAACAACAGAATAACATAAAAGGACCTTTTAACATTGATTTCTTCTGAAAAATGTAACAAGATCTCCTTCAGAATTTGTTACTTACCATGATTAGTTCGTGTGCAATTGAGGGTGAAATGTCAACAGCTTTTTGGTAGCACTCATAAGCAGCAGTTGAATTTCCACATAATTCATGTTCAATTGCTCGTGCAAGATTTTCCTTCCTTGCCCTGCATTTATGAGGCATGGAACATTTCTTTAGACCATGCTAGGAGATCATGAATTCAGATCATCCAATAATGGAGTCAATCAGACTATACATATCATATCCCCTGGCATCTATACAGTAGAGAGGGGAATCACAACATAGAGCCCCCACAAAAGGCAGGTTGAGTTGAGTTTGTACATTCTTAATTTGATATTTTATTCAGCAGTTTTTTGGCATGAATAGGAAGCATTCATGTGACATTGCAGAGCACCTCAGAGAAGATAACTTCCTCATACAAAGAAAGCACTTAACTACTTGCAGATGTATCAAGTAACAGAACCTATCTAAATTTCTTATTTCAGGTTGATCATACAAACCATGTCAATGTGTTGACTGTGTGAAAGCACCTATGATTGGTAAGAAAAATTTAAGTGACAATACCTATGTGAAAATTGGTTTCAACTTTATAATACATCCATGGATCAATCTGGACCTAAATTTTGAAAGGGTAAGCAAGAATGATTGGTAATAACAACTCATAAACAGGCCGGAGAACTGAAACAGAGCTAGATTCATACTCGAGCACACCAAATATACATTAAATACATAACACCTGAAGTGAATAGGCAGTTGACATAAAAAAGGACAGTGACATATAATTAGGACTACCACATCTTAAGTAGCACATCCATTTGCTAGTTGGATATGAAGGCAAGACCAACACATTCATATTTTTCGTGGTAACCAGAATCATGTTAAGTAATTCTGGAGAAAAGACATCTAACATACCTTGCACGCTTGTTCTCTTGCTCAATCTTCATCGGAAGAAGACCCCCATCAAAAACAAGAACCGGTTTAACACCATGATGTCGTAGCAAATTCACCCTATGCATACAATACTCAATGTGCCTAGAGGATCAAAAAACAATGCACCCGTGTTACTAAAACCAAAGGAGTAAACCTTTCCTTCATCCACACCATCTTTTGTCGTTAAACAAAGTGAACCAAACTCGTAAAGCTTTAATTTGAGATGAAATGGGAACTCAATACATTTTATGCCTAAATTTTACCTTTTTTTTACAACTAAAACTACATTGCAGAAAATCCATTTCTATTTTACCTTAAACAATTCTGAATAAAGAAATGCAAATAAAAATCAAAAGCCATTGATGTAAATAAAGAAAACAAAAGAGGCATGCTTTCGAATATTCTAAAAGAAAAATCCATTACCCAAATAACCCACATTGATGTAATCTCGATACTTTTCATCAAAAGAAAAAGAATGCAACTTTTTTCAGGCTAGTAAGAAACTTCATCCAAAGAATACCCATTAACCAATTTTGTCCAAAACCTCCCAGGAAAACCCAACGATTAGATAGTCATTTGATGTGCATTTATATGTTTTTTTAAAGAAATTAAAGCCAGAAAGAGAGAAGGAAACCTGGAGCTGGGTAATCCTTTACAGAGCTCAGTGCTGCAAGACAAGGCTCCTTTGTGGAGCCAAGAATAGGTGTCGATAGCTACGCTACAGCCCTCGAGCTCCTTGATATGGATCGGTACCATAATCGATTTCAATAGAGGCAAAAGCCCTTGTATTCCCATTCCTACAGCTGATTCGGCGATGGCTTGAATTTTGTATCAATGGAGAGTAAACGACCAGCGCCTTAATCTTGCACTGTTAAAAGCATATTTGCAGATAAATAGAGGGAAAGATTTGAGGTTCAAGGAAGAAATAATGGCCCAAATTTTGGGCGGGAAAATGTTTGGGATGATTTCATGGCCCAAACTTAATTTTGAAGGGGTCAAAATATAATTCCACAATTATACAAAATTAAAATTTCATAATTTTAAGAGACTATTGAAAAATAATAATTTAGAACTTATAAATTTAAATATAAATTAAATTAAATTTTATTATTTCATTTTAATTATATATTTATTAAATCTATATTTATGTTTGATTTTAGGGTAGAGTACATAAATAACCCTTTGATTATAGGATATTGTTATTTTTAGATGAATTGCATCTATGTATTCCGACCAAAGAGCAAATAAATCTTTACAGACCAACCAGTACACTAACCCACTATACAAGCAAATCCCAGTTTTCACAGAGTGCACCATGCCTAAGCAACCGTCGTTGCTTAACTATACTCTTGAATTTGAACCTAACAATCTCTCGAGCATGCTTAAAAACCTTTTCCACAGAGAACTCAACCTGAACAAACACACTCGCATATCTTTCCCTCAAGAGCATATAAATGCAACCATTCTAAGCAAGCCTCAAGATCAAAGCAGGCAGGGAACGCCTTTTCGACGTGCAACAAACATAAGCGGCTGAGTCCTGTGAAAATCATATGCACTTAAAGAAACAGACTACAAGCGTCTTGAAAACTCACATTGGAAAAAAAGATGATCCCTCGTTTCCTCCCCCTCTTGCACAACAAACATAAAGACTCGACATTCAAGCCGAAAGAGATCAGTCTGCTCCTAGTAGGCAACCTATCAATGACAACCATCCAAGCAACCATTGAATTCCTAAAAACATGCCCCGAGTGTCAAAGGATCCTATCCCAAGGCACCTTAGGCCCCTGCTCCCTCACAGCTTTCCAAATACACGCAACAGAATATAAGGAAGGTTGAACCAACTCAGGCAAACAAGCAGCCAGACTTCGAAAACACAAAATGTTAAGGACAAGCATGGATCCAGAAGGAAACACCTTTAAGAACATACTCTTGGATCCAAGCAATCCAAATATACCCCTCATGCAATAACAACTTTCGAATCAACAAAAAAAAAGCCTCATTCCAGACCTTAACATTATGCAAACCCAAACCCCATTAGACTTGGGGGTGCAAATCTTCACCCAACTCACCCTAGCTCATTTAACAAGCTTATCCTCACCCTTCAAAAAGAATCTAGAGCACAACTGATTAATGCAATTGATCACAGCATCCGGAAGCATAAGCTGCCTACTCCGGAAATGTTGAATACTATAAAGGACAAACTGAATCAACTGCCATCTCCTAACATAGGAAAACTTCTTAGCCATTCAAAACTGCAGCTTAGAAGAAATCTTATCCAAAAGAGGGGCACAATCCACAACAGAAAGCCTTTTCGCCACCAAAGGGATACCCAGGTAACGAACAGGAAACGAACCAAGCTTTATCCCCAGAGCATCCTTAAAGGCATCCAAATCAGAAACAACCATACCACTCGAGGATAACTCAGACTTAGCAGGATTAATCTGCAAACCCAAGAACCCAAAAAAGCATCTATAATATGCCAAACACACATAATAAAATCAACCAAACCCCGAGAGAAGACCATCAAATCATCAGCAAAATACAGATTTGTAAGGCTAAGACGATGACATTTATGATGATAGGAAAAAAATTTATACTCTGCAACCAAGTTCAACAAACGAGACATAACATTAATAGATAACACAAAAAGATAAGGGGAGATGAGATCCTTTGCCGAAGCCCTTTAGCATCACTGAAAATCCCCCCACCAAACCACCATTTAAAGAATCAAAAATTTAGGGGTAGAAATACACTCCTAATCCAACCAATCATGGAAGCAGGACGTTAAGGGCCTTTAAAACAAAAAAGATAAACTCCCACTCTACATAGTCGAAAGCTTTCTGTAAGTCCAACTTCAAATAGCATATAGGACAAAGAGTGGTCCTATTGTAACCACAAACAAGTTCCTAGGCCATAAGAATGTTGTCCATGATGTCTCTGCCAGGGATGAAATCATAATGGCTAGAAGAAATCACCTCAGTAAGAAACCCCTTCAATCGATTCACAATAACCCTTGAGATGCATTTATAAACCACATTGCAACAAGAGATAGGCCTGAAATTCCTCATGAAACAAAGATTCATGGCCTCTGGGACAAGAACTATGGTAGTAGTTATAGGATATTATTTTGCTGAATTTCTCGATTATTAAAATGTGCGAAATGATCTTTTAATTATAAGATGTAATTTTATTTATTCCTCAACTATTAAAAGTTATGAAATGGTCCTTCGATTATAGAATATTATTCTATTTAGTCCCCTAACAATTAAAAGTTACAAAAAATGATCATCAAACTATTTATATATTCCAAACTCATCATATTTCATTAAAAACTTAACTACCATATGAGCTGGACACTAACTTACTGACTAAGATGTAATAAAATCATATTTTAATAATGTTTATTGACACCGTCGTTGCTTTCAAGCACTGACCCGATGACATAATATAAACGAAGAGTCAATCCACAAAATATAGCTCAAACAGTTATAGGATTGGATTTTATCACATCTCAGTCAACAAGCTAATGTCTAACTCGGATTATTACCAATTTTTAATGGAAAATGACGAGTTTAGAACATAGAGATAGGTGACAAATTTATAACTTTTATTGAAATACTCAACAAAAAAACGGTCTATTATTAAAGGATCATTTTAATAATTATTAGACTCAATAAAACAATACTCTATAATTAAGTAATCATATGTGTATTTGTCCCATTTTAATATGTCCTACTTGGTCAAATTTTGAGCTTTGTATAATATAGTTCTTCCTGTGACGCAACTTGAACCAGCGATTTGACTGAGGTCACCATTCCTATCTCTACAATCAGCTCCAAAATGCATATCCATTTAGATTGGATACCAGATACGTATTGCAAGGAAGAAGACACCCAAACACGAGAAATCATTTTATGCTTTCGGCTCGTTATCTATGACCTCAAATAAAAAATTATTAGGTGAGACCACAAATAACTTCAGCCGCATCTAATAATATTTCTCCAAACAAATACAGCTACATACTCAATAAAACACGTGGCTTACATAAATAGATAACGACATTTCAAAAACGTGTCAACATCAGGGCCTGCTAAAAAAAGGGAAAAGAAAGAAAAACAAAGTCTCCCACTTGAAGCTACACCAATAATATATATCTTCATTTTACACCGTATATCTTAAGCAACCCTTCTTTATCGAATGAAACAGATACTTCTCTTGATTTGCATGCAAAAACATGAGTCCTGCATTGAACTATCTTTTGTGAATATCGATCAAACTTAATTCTCACAAACATATCGAACTCGAAACTTTACTTGAATTACTTGAAAGATATTACTATAATTTGTGAATATCGATCAAACACGCAAACGACAAAGAGAAGGGAAAACCCAGTGGGGAGCAAAAATCAGAAATATTATTTTCCCACAGGTGGTTTGTCAATCATCTCTGTCTTATATTATTAATAAGCTCTTTCGTGGGGTTTATCTGCAGGAGGACAACATGTCTTTAAATGTGATATCTTCTGTTTATGCAATCTGCAGTGATGCGGCCGGGTTGCAGGTAGGGTTTTCCTTTTCCATTTCTGGGTTTATTTTGATGCTTTCATGGATGAAGATGATTTTCGGTTTAGGGTTTTCTTGTTCATCAAGCCACATTGGCTTTTCTGATCTGTTGCTTTTTCCAAAATTTTCCAGGAAACATCTTTGCTTTCATGCTGTTCTTGTCGCCTATGTAAGTTCATTTCCGAAAACAATGCACAAAATGTTTAATATGCAATGTTTATTTGCACAAATTGAACTTTGTCTGTTTGTTTGTTTTTTCAGACCAGCATTTAGGAGAATCATCAGAAATGGTTCAACAGAACAATTCTCAGGGATGCCATATATATATATATATATGCTCTGCTGAACTGCTTGATTTGTCTCTGGTATGGTATTCCCATTGTTTCCCCAGGTATCATCCTGGTGGCAACTGTCGATTCCATTGGGGCGGTTTTCCAAACGCTATACATCTCCATCTTCATCGCATACGCCGAAAAGCCGATGAAGTTAAAGATGTTTGGGTTCCTGGTATCGGTTTTCGCCGTATTCGCTTCGATCGTCTTCATCAGCCTCGAGCTCTTTGACTCCCCGGCACGGCAATTGTTCGTCGGATACTTGAGCGTCGCGTCCCTAATCTCCATGTTCGCCTTCCCTCTACTCATCATTGTAAGTTCACTAAACGCTTTCGCCTTTTTCCGATATTCCGACGAAATCGACTCTCTCATCCGTTTCCTCTTCCAGAATTTGGTGATCAAGATGAGAAGCGTCGAGTACATGCCGTTCTCGCTCTCCTTGGCGATGTTCTTGATGAGCCTAGCTTTCTTTCTATAAGGAATGCTCAAGCACGACCCTTTCATCTATGTAATTTTTTCTTTCTCTTTTATTTTTCTACTTTTCCCCCTCATTTTCTAGTGTTTGAATCTTTGTTGTGAAAATTCTCTGCCATTGATGCATGTTCGTAATGGAATTGGAACAGTTCCGGGGATTGCACAATTGGCCTTGTATGCCTATTTCGAGAGAACAAAGGCATCCTTTGATTCATCCTTGATATAATGTTTGTTATTGATGTGCTACAAAAAGACCCGACAAACTTGACCCGAACCCGATTACCCGAACTGATTTATTGGACCCAATATTAATCCGAATATGATAATTAAATAATTTAAACTCGATCCGAAAGCAATTTGAACCGAATTTAACCTAACTCGAAAGCAACCTAAACAGAAATTAATTTGAACTGAAAGTAATCCAAATCGAAAGCAAACCGACTTTAATTTACTCAATTTGATTTGAACCAAACATTGCCCTATTTTTTACTTAATAAATGAGTAAAAATAGACGAGTGATTTATTGTTATTATATTTATTTTAACAATGTGATGGGTAATAAAATAGTATATGTTTTATTATCTTTTTTTAATTATACTCCTAGTTAGCCAACAATTTTGATAATAGTTTAATAAATATCAGTATCACCTTTGATAATAATTTCATGGTTTAATATTAATTTTTAGTTTGAAAAATTATATTCATATTTGATTCGATAATTTTTAAAAACAATTAAAAAATTAATTGAAATAAGAATTATAAAATAAAATTACTACATACTATTTTGTTTTATATATGATTAACATTAATTGTCATCATTTAAATAGTATACTCAATACTGTATATTTTAATCAACTTTTAAAGAAAAAATTACTTTTTTATAAACATAAATTAACATGAAACACAAATCTCAAATAAAGAATTCTCATTCAAAGAACCAAAAGTATTCTCTTGTACATCAAACTCAATTACATTGAGTTTCTTGACAAAATTTTCTTAATAAAACTTAAAAGATCAATATAATAGTTTAAAAAAAAATCAAATTCAACCCTCTTAAATCTTAAAATATCAGAAGACATAAATAAAATTGGTAATTTATTAAAAATATTAGATTTATAATAAAAAATAAAAATTTTAAGAAGAATATAAAAGTAAGAATCTAATTGTAAGATTGAAAATGGTAATAAATAAAGTTTATTTATCTTACTTGTAATAAAATATTAGATTTATAATAAAAATAATAGAAAATGACTGAAACTAAGGAGATAATATTAGATTCATAATAAAAATAATATAAAGTTTATTTATGTTACCACTAAAACTTAACAAATAAAGTTATTTATTATTTTTTAAAATTTAATAAAAATATTACATTTATAATTGGTAATAAAATTTTTAATTAAAAATGTATTTCTTTATCAAATAGTTCTCATTATAAACTTTTCATATGATATTAATATAAAAATTTGATAACAAATTCTAACCCATAAAATTTTGATAATAAATTCTAACACGTATTATAAGATTATATTTGTATCAAATTATTGATTTATCATCTCTAAATGATGGTTTAGTTCAAAATATTAAACGATTAAGAATTGAAATTAGGCCTAAATGATGAGATTAAAAAACAAGAAGAAATATGTTTGCAAGAATATATCAAGTAGCAAACAGATTCCTCTCCGAATCTGCTGGTGTTTGGATTGTTCTGTTTTTATAGCTCGCTGCTGCGCTTGGTTGGGTTCCCCGTGGCATATTAAAATTAGTGGTTTATCTTTGGAAAATGTTTTCAGAATTGTAACGAAGAGGCTTTTTAGTGTATTCTTGTTTTGGAATCTAGTGTGTTCTAAAACTAATGTGAGAGTTGAATTTTCTTGACATCGATTAGGTTTACTCTTTTTCCTCCGATAAGATTAGACATTAGAGGGATTTTTTAACCAGAATCTAACGACGTTTTAATTTATATGATATTGCTTCTACTAATCATACAAATTTCTTTTTTTAAAAAAAACCCTTAAAATTTTTCCTTCTTCCGTCATCGTCTTTCCCTAAATTTGTGCTCCGAATCATCATTGAAAACCCGATATGGATTTGGATGCGGTGTTGTGGGTTTGAAGAATTGGAATCGGAATTCACCAAAACGAGATCGAGATTCGGGCTCGGCGGACCATTTAACTCAGTCAACATGCTTTGAACCTTAGCTTTGTTTAGACTCTAGGTTTCTATGACTCTGCACGCAATCCAGGAAAAAGAAAATCCAAAAATTTATACTTATTTCCATTTTATAGTGAAACCATGTAGTCGTGTTTGCTAAATAGTAGGTGATGGTTGTAACCACCTTGGTGGGCTGGCATAACAATAGATTCTTCCAGGTCTTTTGTATAACGCTATATATGTGATAATGAGAAATGAAAGAAATTAGAGCATTTTGTTTAAAATACCAGAAAGCTCAACATGGTATCGGTTGCCTGGGGAAATGAAAATATCCTTCTTCCTTAGCTACTTCCTGTTTGTTTTCTTGGGATTGCCATGGGTGACACGGAGGCTTCCTCAACGGTGTTCCAAAGAGTCTTCACCAATAAGAAACTTAGCGTGGTTTTGGATGACCACGACTTTCTATTGTGGAAACAATAGGTGCTTTTGGCAGTACGTAGTCATCGTCTTGAGAAATTCCTCACTGGTGACATCAATCCACCACCGGCGACGGTGGTTCTGGAAAATGCTTCGACTACTGAAAATTAAGCTTATGCACTCTATGTTGCGCAGGACAGTGCCCTCGCGTCGTGGCTTCTGTCAACGATGACTCCAACGATTCTTCCCCACTTGGTCGGTGCTGATACGACCACGCAGATTTGGGCTACAGTCACGAAGTTATTTTTTTCAGCAAATAGAAAACCACGATAATGAATTTGCATTATCATTTGAAGGCTGCTCATAAAGGGGACGCAAGCATGAGGGTATTTATTCCTCAAGGAACTTAGTGATACCCTCGTTGCGTGTGGTTGCTCGATGTATCGACCGTTTATCACCGTCATCACTGCCAGCAGGGAACCCTTTACCTTGTGTTACGTCAGTGCTGATTGATGCAGAAATTCAACAAAAAAGTTTTTAGGAGGCTGATAGTTTATCTATTAGTGCGAATGTTGCCAATCTTCAAGTGAGTGACTCGACGGTGAAAGAGACGACCAAGTCGACAGGGCTAGCGTTTGGATCGTCTAGTTATCGTCCGGGTGGTCGTGGTCGTGAAAAACCTCGGCTTCAATGCCAACTCTATGGCAAAATTGGTCATTTGGTTAACTACTGCTGATATAGGTTTGATAAAACCTTTCACGGTGTCTCTACTGATGGCTCTCTGTCTATGGGTGCTCCATCTGCGCATTCTTGCGTGTTTTCCTCGGGTCCTGCTTGTGGATGTCGCAGAGCGTGAGACAACAATACTATAGCTACGGCAACTTCTTACTGTTCTAAATCCAATCCAAATACTTGTGGTTCAGCTCCCTCGGCTGGAAAATGCTTTGTGGATTCTGGGGTCACTCATCATGTGACGTCGGAGGCTGACAATGTTGTTGGAGGCGAGGAGTATATTGACAAGGGTAAGCTTGTGGTTGGTAACGATAATGGCTTGTCAATATCTAGTGTTAGTCACTCTTGTTTACCTGCATATAATTGCACTTTGAAGTTAAATAATTTACTTCATGTCCCTCGTATATTAAAGAATTTAGTATCAGTATCTAAACTTACTAAAGATAACCGAGTGTTTCTTGCATTTCATGCTCATAGATGTGTGAACTGAGATGAAGATACGAGGGCGATTTTGCTTGAAGTATGAGAGAAAGATGGTCTTTATGAGTTTAGTTCTACTTTTTTTGCATAATAATACATATGCTGAGTGAAATGTGGCTTGTGAGGTTGTTGATTTTCGTTTATGGCATAATAGAATGGGACATCTGTCTCGAGATACTTTGCTTAAAGTTTGTAGAAGAGACAATGTTAATACAACTTTGATTACTGATCAATATATATGTGTTGCTTGCCAATCTGAAAAAAGTAATTCCTTGACCTTTTCCAAGTGTCTTACAACTTATAATGAGCCATTTCAGTTAATATTTGAGGATTTATGGGGACCTTCTCACGTCATGTCCAATGGCATTCGATACTACATGTCATGTGTTGATGTGTGTACAAGGTACAATTGGGTTTGCTTATTGAAAGAGAAATCACAAGCTTTGTATGCCTTCAAATTGTTTCAACGATTAGTGCGCGTTCAGTTTGGAAAGGAGATAAAGGAAATCCAAAGCGACACTGGGGTGGTGAATTTCGCCCTTTCACCAAGGTCCTTCAAGAAATTGGGATCCGACAGTCTTACCAGCCCTCACACATCCCAACAAAATGGCGTTGTATAGCGAAAACGCCGCCACATTGTTGAAATAGCTCTGGCCCTTCTTGCTCAAGCCTTATTACCGCTTCATTATTGGTCATATTCAGTCGTTACGGCTGTTCATTTAATTAAATGATTATCTACGAGAGTTCTCCATGGTTTAACTCCGTTTGGCAAGAACCCAAGCTATGATCACTTATGTGTTTTTGGATGTCAATGCTTTCCGTATCTTCGCCCGTTTCAGCCCCACAAGCTTGCCTTTCGATCAGAGGCCTGCACGTTTTTGGGCTATAGTATCCAACATGAGGGATATTTATGTCTTGTGTCGAATGGTCAGGTTTTTATCTCAAGAAACGTAAAGTTTGATTAAGGCGTTTTCCACTTTGTAGGACAGGTTAAGGCTACCATAACTTCACCTCAATCGATTCCATAGACCATGATTGACGTGATATCTGGTGTAAGACAAACTCGGTTTCCCTCTCCTGTTCCTCATGCGTTTGAACTTGTTTTGCTCGATAGTGGAGTGGGTGATTGTGCGTTTGGATTGCCAATGAACAATAATGATGAAGTCATGGGGTTTGAGTCTATCGTTCCAGCAGGTTCAGCTATTCAAAGCCATGCTATTAATGACGTGCCTCTTGGTGAGAATATGGTAGAAAATTCGAACCCCCAGTCGAAGCTACTGTTGTAAGTAATTTACATGGACATTATCTTCACCTTCCAATGTGTATCATATGGTCACTAGGAGCAAAGTTGGTACTTTCAAACCCAAAACTTTCTCTGTTCATACCATGGTTGAAGGTGATGAACCAATTTCCATTCATCAAGCGTTGTCTTCACCTGTTTCGAAAGCCGTAGTCATGGTCGAATATGATGCCTTAGTTTAACTAAAAATTGCTTAAATCATGTATTTTGATTATATTTCGTATTTTGTGGATTAGGTTGAAGATTTGGATAAATCAAGTTCAAAATCTAATGATTAACATGATCTTCACAAAATCCCAAATTAAGGAAGAAAAATCGGAATTCAAGAAGTTGGCAAGACCAGAAGAGGTTTTCGCATAAGGCGTGGGCATGGCTTATTCATCTTGAGCTATCGCAGAAGAAGTCTTCAGTTAAGGCGTGGGTGCGCCTTATCAGTCCGTACAACCCTAAATTAGGATTACAAATTTACAAGAGAAAAAGAGTTTAATGACAGCTGGAAGACTCTTTTGAATTATTCTTATCTTTAGAAAAGGATGAGAGCATTTAAAACTCTTATTTTTGTGAGATTTTCTTTAAGAGAAACTTCCTTATCTAGAGTAGAAAAATCCTTATAAAAGGGGAGCTAGGGCATGAAGTAGTTATCAAGTATTTCAATAAGTTTTCTTTAAGTTTTTCTTTTGATTTTCTTTCAATTATGAGTGGCTAAATACTTTTGTTCCAACTGGAGGATAATTGAAGTTTTGGTTCTTTAAGGATTGTGAGATTTAAATAATTTTCATTGTTCTTTTACTTCTTTGCTATTTATATATCTTCTGTTTTTATTAAGAATTATTGTCTTGATTGATTGTGCAAAGGATTCGTTGTTCAATTATCAGGTTGATTAATTGCCATTTAGAACTTTAAATCCGTAATTGTTTAAACGTTCTAATACTAGTGGTAAAGTAACATAGTTGATTTTGATTATGTTATGAAGGTATATAACCTAGTCTAAATGAATCGAGCTTGTGTATTTGTTGGCTAGAATTGGTGGTCTTTCTAGTGGATAATGCTGTTGGTAGATTAAATCTTAAGTGCTTGTCTAGGGTTGTTCATTAACAAGGGTAATAGTCAAAAAGCTTCTCTTGATTATCGAGAAACTAAGGAGAGACATGTTGTTAGAGCTTCTCAATAACCATAACCAATTTAGTGAAAAGTAGAATATTTTATCATTGCATCTATGATCAATTCTATGAACCAATTCTGAAATTACCTTTAGTTGGATATTTGCTTGATATTGATCTCTCTAAATTCTTAGTTGATTATAATTGTTTTTTTTATTTTTCTTTATTCTAAAACCCCCTTTATTTTCTTTAATTTTCATTAAAATAAGTCTACCCAATCCCTGTGGATTTGACCTTGCTTATCGCTACTACAATTTATATTTCTAAAAACAAGTATTATTATTTGTTGGATTAGACACCCACCAAATTTTTGGCGCCGTTGCCGGGGATTGGTGTCATTTAGACGTATTTTAATGCCCCGTCCTTCTCGTGCAGGTGAACTCCAATATGATCCTGAAATCGAAAAGACCGCTTGCAGGTTAAGAAAAGAAACTAACTTGTGCAACAAACAAGCTTCCTCTTCATCATCCCCTGAATCGGAATCTACACTAAACTTGGTTGATTCATCAAGAGATTCTGAAATAGAAGGAACAATGGCCAACGAAGAAAGAACTCTAAGAGAATTGGATGCACCAAATGTGAATCAACAACCGCTCTGCATTGACTACCCAATTTTGGAGGTAGCTTTTGAATTAAAATCTGGTTTGATTCATTTGTTGCCTACTTTTCATGGAATTGAGAATAAAGATCCTTATAAGCATTTGAAGGAATTCCACGTGGTATGTTCAAGTATAAGACCGCAAGGAGTGACTGAAGAGCAGATAAAACTGCATGTTTTTCCATTCTCGCTAGCCGATAGAGCTAAAGATTGGCTATTCTATTTACCCCCTAGTTCTGTGACTACTTGGGCCGATATGGCGAGGATGTTTCTTGATAAAATTTTCCCTGCTTCAAGAGCCGCTGGCATTCGAAGGGAGATATGTGGAATAAAACAAAAAGATACTGATACCCTTCACGAGTATTGAGAACAGTTCAAACGACTGTGTGCCAGCTGTCCTCAACATGGGATTTCTGAGCAACTTCTCATCCAATATTTGTATGAATGACTTCTACCCATGGAGAGGAAGATGATGGATGCAGCCAGTGGATGTGCCATAGTGAATAAGACTCCTCACGATCCTAGGGAATTGATCTCCATCATGGCCGCCAATTCACAATTTGGCTTTAGGCAAGACACATCTTCAAGAAGGGTGAATGAGGTAGGTTCTTCCTCCATTGAACATCAATTATCGCATCTCACCTCCCTTGTTCAACAACTAGTTGTAGGAAAAACGCAGCAAGTGAAAGCTTGTGGGATATGTGCTGCGATCGGTCACCCAATTGACTTGTGCCCTACACTTCAAGATGATTCTCATGAGTACACCAATGCAGTTGGAAGGTTTCCCGATCCTCCACAAAGGAAATATGATCCTTACTTAAATACCTATAATCCAAGATGGAGGGATCATCCTAACCTTAGTTATAGACCAAGACCATCGCAATTCCAGCATTTTCCACTT